GAGAGAGAGAGAGAGAGAGAGAGAGAGAGAGAGAGAGAGAGAGAGAGAGAGAGAGAGAGAGAGGACAGGGTTACCTGCCGGTCTTCCCTTTGCCCTCTTCCCTGGCGCTACCCACCCCATCTGGCTGGCATTCCACAGGTTGCCCCATCCTCCCAGCGTTGAATACCGGTGACCATGCAATGTTGAAATCAGGGGCTATACAGAGTGATATTTCCACCCTCCCTGACGACAAAGCTTGCGTGAGATGAGTCCACCTCTCAGATATGGCAATCAGACTTGTCTTCGACACACTCAGCATGCGTGCAAACAGATGACGATCAAGCACTGGCGCATAGCGTCCACACAAAGCTCAGAAATATTGAGCCAGGAGCACAGTTCAGATTCAAACTTGTCCGAATGGCTATGGCACAGATCCACCAGACAACAATTCCCACTCGATCAACTGTATCCCCCCAGCAACTTATTCACACACATGCACACTCTTGATCTCCCTGGATGTCCCGCACACTCAGACTCACACACACTGAACATACACGCACAGACTAACCTCCTACCTGGCAGCTATGTCTGCCGTCGACCTTCTACCACTAACAAGCGACTATGGCCGCCTCTTCCTCCGGTTGGCCCACTTCTCCTACGGGCACCTGCAGACCTCCGTACACAAGACACACAGGCAACGCTTCCGCACGGCTCACGGGCAGAATGAATGCGTGACTGGACACTGCCTCTTTATTTATACTTCGGATCTTTGTAGGTCTGCCCTTGGACCCTGGAACCGGGGTATTCACAGTCCCACATGGTACTTGCTGACTGGACAAAGTGCGACCCGGGACTGGGTACCGCTGACTAGGCTAGTTGGGACTGGGACTGCCCTTTGCTGACTGTAGTAGGACTGCCCCTTGCTGATGCAGCTGTGAACCGACTCTAGGACTCACGAAAGGTCACTTCCGGAACTTCCGGAAGGTCGCAGACTTACCTTTCGGGGCTGTAGCAGCTATGACCGATGCCTACCCTGCGACCACTAAAACTACGACCTACGGGTTCAAGACCCGGCGACCGCACTATATACAACAGCTACACGTACGACTTTCAGGACACAGGTCGCGGGTTCAAACGCACACGGGTCAATGGGTTCTGTACACGGGTAAGGGGGGGAGGTCTAGGGATCGATTCCTGGGTACTGCATCTGCTACCGTAAACGCGAAAACCGTTTCAAGGGGCTACACAGAGTGATATTTCCACCCTCCCTGATGACAAAGCTTGCGTGAGATGAGTCCAGTCTCTCAGATATGGCATGGTGGGAATGGGGCTGCAGAGGGCTGAGGAGGGCAGAGGGATTAGCAAGGAGGAGAGTAACGTTTAGGTGAGTGGCGTGGCGACTCTCTGATGCTAATATCTTCACGAGCGGTTTTCGTGTTCGGTATTCTTCCCATCTGCATCTTTCATCTTGACCTGTCATTTGTCATCTATCTGCACTGATGCTCTTTTTTGTTTTTTGTTTTTAACCATCGAGCCGTCAAATTCCGCCTTTCAACAAGCCCCATGTCGTGCTCCTGACCTGTACTTTTTTGTCCATGTCCCGACCTCCCTCCTGCTCCAGCTCAAACCAGGACAACTCTGCTATAAAGTTCTCTGCCAGGGGAAAGGGGTCTGCAGAGGAAAAAAGAAAACAAGGGCATGTACTAATAGGGGTAGTGATTAATGTTACATGTGTGTACTCATCTGAGTCTATATCAGGAGGGAGAGTTCTCAAGAGGCTCTGCTGTCAGAGTTCTTGAAACAACATGAATTACGTAGTTTTGCGTTCCGTCAGACATCAGGAGTCGGACTCGAACTCCTGATGTGTCCACTGACAGTTACATGTGTGTACCATTCAGTCGTATGGGCCAGGCAGTAGTATGTAGTAATTCTTATTATGTAGGAGTGATGGTTTTCTACAGATCAGTCACAAAGTTTTTGCATTGACCCTTTCAGATGAGAAGAAGCGCACACCTTTACATTGGGCAGCGGACAGGGGACATCTTGACGTTGTTAAGTTACTTTTGGCACGAGGTGCTAGCACAAATCTCCAGGTATGTCTCCTTTTTCCTTCCCCTCTCTTTCTCTGCCTTTTCTACCCCTGTCTCTACCCTTTCTACTTCTTCTCCTTCTTTCTGTTTCTCTCTTTCTCTTTGGTAATGTCTCTTGCCACCTCTTTTCCCTTTTCCCCCTCTTCCCCTCTTCCCCTCTTCCCCTCTGCCCCTCTTGCCCCCCTCTGTGCCTCTTGCCCCCCTCTCCCCCTCTCCCCCTCTGCCCTTCTGCCCTTCTTGCCCCCCTCCCCCCTTCCCCCCTCCCCCCCCTCCCCCCTTCCCCCCTTCCCCGCTTGCCCTCTTGCCCTCTTGGCCTCTTCCCCCCTTCTGCCGGCCTTCCCCTTCTGCCCTTCTCCGCTTCCCCTTCCGCTGCTCCCCTTTCCCTCTTCTCCTCCTCATGTTCTTTGGGCTGCTCGCCTCAGGTGCTGCTGATAGTCGGCCAGATGCGCTTTTGCTAGTTGTTTCTATGGCCTGTCGTCCCCGTCAACTATCTATTGTCTGCTGCCTATTGTTTACGACGTTATAAAAATTTAATGAGGAAGTCAGAGAATACTCAGTGTGGATGGTTTCCATACCTGACCTGGTTCCAGTTGGTAGTTGACATAAATAGGCCCTTGACTCAGGTGCATGCCCCAGTGATGCTATGTCATGCTAGGAAAGGAGAAACGTTAGTCCATGAGTGAGAAAATGGAATTGGCTGCCTAGAACTTATTTCATGCATAGCACCAGTGGGACCTTGCCCATAGTCTGTGAGTGAGAAATGGAATCGGCTACATATACTATATAGTATATACTACATGAAGCTATATTCTTCCCTCAATTATACCTCTCACTACCTACCTACCTATTTTCAACTTAGCACCACCCTCCACCCATGTCAAAACACCATGGGGTAATCCAAGGAATTCTTTCTACTCCACGTGGGCTGGACCTAACCCCCGGCGAGGGATGGAAGGGACGGAAGGAGTAGCCTCTACCAAGGCCAACCAGGGCAGGGGGGGGGGGGGGGGGGACAAGCCAACTATCTCAGTTGGTGAACCCGCAGCGCGTGGCAGGAGGGAGGCCGTGGGAATTTGAACGGAAGATGTGGGGATTCGAACTCATGACCTCCTGAATGCCGCTCTCGTGCTCTAGCAGCTCAGCTACCGTCTTCCCTCGAATAGAACGTAAGCCTCGTAAGGTCATTATAGCTGTATTTGGCTCGTCATTCTGACAGATGCAGCAAAAATGACCGTACGTTGTATTGGGGGGAAGAAGGTAGGCTTCTGCCCTGGCTGCATAGAACTTATTTCATACATGCAGCAAGAAAAAAAAAGGGAAAAAAAAAGGGAAAAAAAAAGGGAAAAAAAAAGACACCTGTAATTAAGAAGCGCTACAGACCGTGGGGATTCGAATGGAAGACGCGGGGAATCGAACTCACGACCTCCTGCATGCCGCTTTCGTGCTCTACCAGCGGAACTTCTTAATGATCTGTGCGCCGCTGTGCTAGATGTTTGCAACCACACCACTGCAACGATGTGGTGAATACTTTTTTTCATTTTATTTATGGACTTGCCATAAATAAAATGAGAAAAAGGTACCGATAGCTTGTCTCTGACTCTAGGCTGCTGCTGCCCTGGCTGCATAAAACTTATTTCATACATGCAGCAAAAAAAGAAAAGAAAAGAAAAGAACACCTGTAATTAGGAACTGGCCTTCGCAAGTCGGTCTTTGGAAAATTTTTGGAAATATTGCCTACCTTGTTGTTTGGCGGAACGTTGTTGAAACAGCAAACTTTGTGAATGTGAGACGGCATTGATTTGATATCCGAGCAGGATGACGACGTTGATTCGATATCCGAGCAGGATGCGTATGTGCGTTTTATGAAGCTTACAGGAATCCTGACACGTCGTCTCTGTGTTGGCATTCAGTGGTCATGTACTTAGCAGAGAAGGCACTCCCTTTTTTGTTTTGTTTCTTTCTTACGGAGATCCGCGAATGGATGTGTGCCACACGATGCAGAGGCTTCCGCAATGCAGCTGCTTGAGGCCGAGGTGGCCAGGCCTCGTCCTGGGCACGGTGCTCACGTACTCGACATTGCGCACACGCACGCTGTTTGGATGCAAACCGTTGGCCATGCGTGTACGCTACACCCGTGTCGGCACGGGTTTCAGCCTTCCCCCCACTCCAACATCGCCGCAAAGCGGTTGTCATCATTTGCCCACGGGCATGCGGACAGTGCACCGCCTGCAGATTTTTAACAATACTGTGAACAGCCCCTGTGTGTCCGTATAAGCTGGAAATCTGCGTGGGACTTTGCACCATAAGGACGAATGGTCCCACGTTCAGGCAAAATGAAAATCTCGGTCGCATGCAAGGTCCTGTTTTGCCTCTGGCGGATGTCCGACGAAATGGCACCCCGATAGTCTGTAGACTTGCATAGCATTGGCATGCACTGGTGCTATGCTATAGCTTCGCTACAATGTATCATTTCCACTTCAATCATTTTAATGGGTGTCGAGAACGACGAGAAGGACTAACGTCTGTTCCCCTTTTCTTTTTTTCTTTTTCTGCGGTTGCGTCTTTTTCGCTTTGTGCTTTTGGTTCTGGCAGGACTCGACCGGGCAGACTCCTTTACACTATGCGGTTCTTTGTGAGTTTGAAGAAGTGGCGAAGGCGCTATGGGAGCATGACGCGGATCCTTTTGTGAAGGATGAAGATGGGACCACGCCGGACGAAATGATGCCAGAAACCTGGCACTGGAGAACTTCAAGGATCTAATTGCTAATTAGTAATTAGTAATAATTACTGAAATAGTAATATTGTTACTAATTTTAGTAATTTTTTACTAATTTGTAATTAGATGATAGGCTTGGGAAGTTTTGAAAGTTTATGTATTTGCCGCGATGTTTTTTTTTCCTTTTTCTTTTTCTTTTTGGTGCGCGAGCTATTGTCTCGTCGTCATTGCATCTCTCTTTCTTCGGCCTTCAGAGTGAGCACGGATAACGTGTCTTTTTTTTTTTTTTTTTTTTTTTT